ACACGCACACACACACACACACACACAGACACACACACACGCACACACACACATTCTCTGAGGATGCGGTTGCAGACTTCTGTTTTGATTCAGCCACACTTACACACGAGGAGAGTCGGAGGAAATGACTTAATCACTCTGGATGTGAGCAGGGAATTGTGTGTGTGTGTGTGTGTGTGTGTGTGTGTGTGTGTGTGTGTGTGTGTGTGTGTGTGTGTGTGTGTGTTACACAGGTAGGGATTAGAAAACAGTGGTTTGTTCACTGCAGAATGGTCTCCTGTTGTGTGCCATGAATAGATGCTTGTCCCCTCGCTCTGTCTGTAAACACAGCAGTAATCAGCACCAATTATCCACACACACACACACACACACACACACTCACTCACTCACTCACTCACTCACTCACTCACACACACTTCTTTATTCCAAACAAGAGGGGACTTTTACAAAGCTGAGGTGTGTTCTCCATTGATGAATCTGTTCAATCAGAACTTGTGTTAAACACTGTTGGCCTTCTGCTCTTCCCAGAGGTGTTCAACGGGGTGGAGGTTGGGCACTTTGCAGGAATACATGTTCTTTGTGACCTTTTTGTCACTAATCAACAGTGTATTAACCCTGGTTCCTGCATTTAACATGAACAAAGGACATTTTCTACTTTAACATTTTTAAAAAAGTGTAATGAATTCACCTTATGCTTCCCTGTGGTGCTTCCATATTGTCCTATGTTGTGTTGGTACTTCTGTTTAGATTGTATGTGCAATTTATTTTTGCATAACGTCGCCAGCTTTACCAACCTTTACTTGCCAAATAAACTGATTTTAAGCTTTTGAATGAAATTGTATTAACGTATTATACTCTCTCAGTTGAGAAACTAACCATTTAGATGAATAATATATGATTATTTTATCCAGATAGCGCATATTTTGGCATTTACGGTGATATTTGGAGCTGTGAGAAAGTAAATAGTTAACGTAAGTAAGTACGTAACGCTGCCAGATAGCTTGTGAAATAAGTAGCTAACATAGGCTAGTTAATTAATTGTAAACGTCAACTAGTTGTTTAAGTAGTTAACTAACCTTCAATAGCTAGCTTGTTGGATAAGTAGCTAACATAAGCTTGTTTATTATTTCAATATACAGCAAATGTTACAGTATAGCCTATAGCTTGTAAAATAAACAAGTAACATTCGCTAGCTAGCTTGTTAGATAGCTGGCTAACGTAAGCTAGTTCGATAGCAACAGTTAGGCTACCTAGCTTTTAGTTCACTTTTAAAGTACAAAGCTGCACATGTTCCCACATAAAATGAATTGCTTGTCATGAGATTACCCTTTAGATATCTTTGTTCATGTAATCTAATTGTTTTTGTCTTAATAAATGAACTCTTATTCTCTGGATAATCACACGTCTTACTGTAACTGTCTAAGTGCACTGGTCTTGATGTTTTTGAAATCTCTACAGAACGTTTTTACGTCTTTCTCCTTTCAATTTAATATACATGCATTGGTCTGAAAAATAAAAGTTAGAGTTTAAACCCGTCACTGTGGTTTTCTAAAGATGATGATGATGATGAGGAAGATGATGATTACGGTGTTTTTGCTCACATACATAATGATTGTACATTTTGTAGGTGTACTCTGAGCTGCAGGAGGCTTCAGTTTGTTTAGCTTTTGGGCAGATCGCCTCTGAAGCTGTTTCCATTGTGTGGAAGATCAGGAGTCAGCAAATACCGTTTCAACTTCACACAATGGGAGGGTGTGCTTAACACCACACATATTGGAGGTGTATCATGCGGATGAAATGGAGAAAGTCTTTGGGTTGTGGTTCGTTCTGCCGTGGAAGAATTAGTTCAGATTAAAGATGTTTTGAAGTTGTTCTGTTAAAATCAGTTGTCAAGTATCAAAGACACGGCTGTTTCCGATTTACAGTCAAATGGATTTTGAAGCCAACCACAGAAACATCGTTTTTACCAGTATCAATGCACCTATTTGACAAAGTATAGCTAAAGACACAGCTATTTTATGCCGCTAGCAAAGTTAGCGCTAACTAAATGTTAACCATCAAGATATCTGCACCTCTGACAAACAAAAGCTTTGTATTTATCCACATGTTGGCACATTTGAGTGTTTCGGTGATCTGATTCTTATTCTGATTTAAGCCGCAGGAATTGTCTTTTGATGTTTGTTTTTTTGCCATTACACCAGGTCTGGATTTGAATCTGGTGTTTCTTTTTGGAGTCACATGACTTCATGTCACCACTGCTAAATTAAAGGCGGCTAATGTTGGCGTGATGATGTTTAGTCGTCTCATTTAGACACTTGTTAGCAACCTCCAAACATCCAAAAACACAGTCAAAAGAGGGGACAAGAAGTTGTAAATTGCTGACTAATTTTAAGGGTTTAAGGACTCGTTTTCTGCATTTTCTCATAAATATTGTGTGTTTTTTTAGGTGAGTTGTCGCTGCCAGCCAACATCAACCCGTACTCGAAGGTTCCCGAGGTTTGGATGGAGAGCAGGGAGGACGCCTACCTCCATCAGGAGCTGAGAGCTCTGCAGCAGGACCTCCTCTCCACCTGCGTGGGCAGCATCTCCGAGCTCAGTGAGTGTGTGTGTGTGTGTGTGTGTGTGTGTGTGTGTGTGTGTGTGTGTGTGTGTGTGTATGTGTGTATGTGTGTGTGTGTGAGTGCGTGCGTGCGTGCGTGCGTGCGAGCGTGCGTGCGTGCGTGTGTGACTGAGGCCACAGTCGTCTCCTGTGTTTTGTGTGTGTTTATTTAAACTGTCTGGGGACGGGTCGTTAGACGCCCCCCCCCCCC